TCCCTTGGTCCTGCCACCCACTCACCCTCCAGTTAAAGAGATCATACCAGGCTTTGTGGCAACCTCCCGTTCTCTTCTATAGCAATAATAATGCCAACTTTTCTTTTTGTCTTTCTTCTGCATCCTACCTTTCAGCTGATCCAGAAAAGTGCAGCACATAATAATTAGAAAGGAAAAACCTAAATGGTCTGTAACATTTAAAGAGATCTACAAAGATAGGTGAACAATGGAAAAGCTTTCATAATAAAATGATAGAAGAGTATTTCTATTCCAGATCAAGATGTAAAGGAAGGTTACAGTAAAGTCTGGCATTTGCTCACATGTCCTACTCTGCAGCAATGGGAGTTTAGCCAGGAGAACCGCAAACACCGCTGCTTCTTTTTAATGTATTATATTGCCCCTGTCCCCATATCCTCCTGATCTTGCCCAAGACCTGAATAAAGCTTTCCTGGGGAGAAAGCTTCAACTCCTGCAAAGCTCTTCCTCATTTGGAACTGTTTGCTGTTTTTCCAGTCCTAACAGCATGTTTGGAAACTGTAATTGACCGAATGGATGAAGTCAGAGACTGAAACTGAACCCAGACAGGTGAGCAGTGATGCTGATGGGAAACAAACACTATGCTGACTTGAAGGGATGTATAGGCCCTGTTTCAGTTCTATCAGCATGCAACATGAATGAACGTCTGCCCCAAAAAACAAAACCTCAAAACAACCCAGGAGCCTTTACAGCTGCAGCCCAAAGGCTGTGGAATAATTCCTCTGTGTGTGTGTGTGTGTGTGTGTGTGTGTGTGTATGCACATACACATGCAGTTGCAGAATGGTTCCCCCTTGCTTTTAATTAAGAAGTGAAGAACTTAGCCGAAAAAAGCACCATGATAATAATAATAATAATAATAATAATAATAATAATAATAATAATAATAATTTTTATTTATATTTCCCGCCTCTCCCTACGGATAACAAGTAATATTAAAATACAAAGCATAAAATATATAAAAACCACAACAACAATATCCCCCCCCCCACAATAAACCCTATAATCCCTCTAAATTAAAACCCATACCCTATCCCCAATCCAGAGAGCCGGTTGGCTTCATCTTCACACACCCGGAAGGTCATATTGATAAGTCAATTAGTTTTTTACAAATTAGGAAGGTCAGGTGAGTAAGCCCGCTGGAAGAGCTCCGTCTTAAGTGCCTTCTTAAAGGCTTCTAGTGTATTAATAAGGTGTATTCTAGTGTATTAATAAGGTGATATTAATTAATAATTAATAAGGTGATATTACTCCTCCCCCATTTTCTTCATAAAATAAACAGGCAAAATGATAGGTGCACTTTAGGGGCACCATAAATTGGAAGCAACTTGAAGGCATACAACAACAACAACAAAAACAAACCATTAAAGTAGCCAGTGCAGTTCAAAGAAACCCAAACTTTTAAAAACAACTATTCAGTAACAGCCCCTACAACAAGGAATCAGAAACCAGACCCTGCTGCAATCTCATATCTATCTATCCTGGCAACCTTATTATGGGACCCTGCAATGTTTCACTAACAATAGCAGATATTTATTGGCTTGCTTATTTTCCATTGTTATGTATTCTATCAGAATCTTCCCCCATTTTCTTCATAAGATAAACAGGCAAAATAATAAATTTACACAGATCTGGTAGCAGAAACAATAATATTCAAAAACTGATAGGAGAATATTTTAACTTCCCAGGAAACTCTGTCAATGCCTTTAGAATAGCCATTGTGAAACATAGAAATGATAAGGAGATATTATGGGAAGACTGCTGAGTTACAATTCATTAATTAGGGGTTCTGGTTTATTAACAGATATTTGAGTTAGGGTAATGGATTCATATTGCACTGTGTCTGCAATCCTACATCCTTACAGCATAGCATAAATCCTTGCTGGTGGAAATATACTATGCCAGCAGAAAATCAATGCATTTGAGATAA